CCCCCCCCCCCCCCCCCCAGGTCGCCACGATCACGGGGTTCAAGAACTCGGTCATCGGGGTCTCGGCCTCCCCGTTCAACAGCATGTTCGCTACTGGCAGCGGGGATAATCTCGTTTGCGTGTGGAACTACGGCGACCGTGACGACTATCGTCGCCAGTCGGAGAGCGCAGTCGCCCCCGCCTCCTCGGGCCGTTCGTCGTCTGCGGAGAAGCCGAGGCCCCCCAGCAGGTCGTCCCGGTCCGCGTCCCCCCCTATCTCTAACGCGTCGTCCCTGAGGAAAGACGACCGCGCTTCTTCTCCTTCTCCCCCGCGAGCGTCGCCGGGTAGAGGGGGTAGGGGGGGGGATGGGGATGGCGGAAGCAGCAGGGGCAGGGGGGGGGTCGGGCTTGTAGAGAAGGGACGAGGCGGCTCGGCGGGGGCGGGGGCGGGGGCGACCAATGGGAAGGGGAGGACGTCGCCGTCGTCGGACGAGCGGGAGGGAAGGACGGCGGCGGGCTCCGAGGAAAGGAAGAGGTAGGTGGTGGCATGCCGCCCTTTGTGTTGCTGCTCCTCGACAGTTTTGTGCGGCGGGGAGGGCGCCAAATGTTTGCCCTTGCGGGTTTTTAGTACGTGCGGTTGCGCAAACCAGCCAGCATTTGCGCTTGCTTGTTGCAGTCTATCCTCCGGGTGGGCATCCAGCCCTCTTCACGACCGCGATGGGGGTAGCTTATGAATGGCCGCGAGCACGCGAACGGATGCGTGTTGCCCTTGCTCTCGTCAGTGCTGTCCTGTTATGTCTCGCTCATTGCACCGGTCCTCTCTCGTCTCGACCCCACAAACGACAGAAGCGGTAGCAAGGAGTCGAGCAGAACGGGTCCCCGCGGAGGAGGGGGAGGGCATGACTCGGACAGAAAACAGCAGCGGCACGAGTCGAAGCACAGACAGGGACGCGCAGGTTCGCCCTCGGACGGACGGCGCAGCAGCAGCAACAGCAAAGAACGGAGCAGCGGTAGAGGTGGTGGCGTGGAGCCGATGGATGAAGACGACGATACGGAGGAGGAGAAGCAAGGGGAGGAAGCGGAGGGAGGTGGGGGTAAGCGGGCGGGGAATACAGATGAAACTCCCCTCGGAAGGAAGAGAGGCTCGGGCGGAGTTGGTAACGGGTCCGGCGGGCGGAAGGCGTTGAATAGGAGCAGCAGCAGCAGCAGCAGCAGCAGCGGCAGCGGCGGCGGCGGCGGCGGCGGCGGCGGCGGCGGCGGCGGCGGCGGCCGTGGGCCTTCTCCGGAGAAGAGGGGTAAGGCGGCTCTCCCCCCGAAGAAGGAACTTCAGCGGCGAGATTCCCCCTCGTCGGCAGAGTAGGAGCGAGTTTTTAAATCATGTTATTTATTTGGCAAGAGAGAAGCCTTTTTTTGGAGTCATGGCGTGCTGTTTTGTTGTAGGGGAAGGGTTCGGGGGAAAGACACTCGGGTCCAATGCTAGCGCCATAGAATCTCGCCTTTCTCTGCTGGGAGCAGGAGCGAATTTTACACGGGTTTATGGTGTGTTGGGCGGAGCACTTTATAGAGTTCAGGATGGAACGGTCGTGTTTTGTTCGGGCGGGGGGGGGGGGGGGGGGTCCGCATGGGGGAATAGACTCTTGGATTGATTTCCAGCCCTTGCGTGTGTTGCCTGCGTGCCCAGTGGCGGCGGTTGCGGCTTGGCCACACCTGGTGGCTGCGCTTCCAACTGCGGTAAATTTTGGGCGCGCGAATACGGCAGCGGGTATGGTCCGCCTGCCTGGGCATTCTCTCCGCCAAGCCGCCGCCGTCGTCATGCGATGACACGTGTGCCTGGTAGTAAATACTCCGATTGTGCCGGCCGGCCGACGGTATCGCTGTGCGGAGTGGTGGTGGGCGGATCAAAGCACGAAACGTTCGGCTTGATGCGCATGCTAGGCGTCAAGCGTGATCCGGATACTCCACTGCTGTCGAACTGGAATTCCATGTAATTTTTGACACCAACCGGGGACGACTTGACCCCTGTTGGCCGGACGCAGTGAGTGACGAGTTCAGCGGGTCGTTGTAGATGTGTGTGCGAGGGCGCCTTTGTATCGTGTATTATTTTTCCAGCTCCAGCAGCAGCGCCGGGAGCATCAGCAGCACAGCAGTGTCACTTTGTATAATGTTGCGGTGTGCCGTGTCGACTTTGTCCTATGTTTTCTTTGTTCGTACATGTATCGGTAGCAAGGTGTTTGTCCTGTTTGGTATCATAAATTGGTGTATGTTGTGGTTGTGGGGGTGGTGCACGGCACTTTTCGTCTTGCTTAAGTGCCACAAGGCATTGCAGTGGCAGTGGGGACGGCTATTTATTGCTATATTGCGGTAGTCGTAGTTAATGCCGGTGACCAATGGTTGCGTTGGTTGTTCTCGTCCTGTCTCGGGCGCATTTTCACGTTCTTTTACTCTGATTTGCGGTGGTTTTAAGTCTCCGAGTAACTTATTTCGTTTTGCAATCGCCGAACAAGTTTGCTTTGGCGTCGGTTTGTTAGAGGCGCTGGTGGGCGTAGCATCCTGTCGTGTGCGTGGACAATTGTATCGTCCCCACTTATGCCCCCCTCCCTAGTGGTGATCGTGATTCTGGTTTTCTTTTTGTGCTTACGCAACACACTGGCATCTGTTGCTTCTGCCGTGCTTCGTGTCGTGCGATTTAAAACGAACTGCGGCGGGTTTTAAACCTTTGTGCTGGTCGAGTGTTGTCTTGTTTTTTGCAGAGGTGGCGAGGTGGAGGAGGGCTTGGGATTCGCGGGGCGCACCGCCGTGCTGTGGAATTTTTGGTTTTTCACCAATCTTTTTTTCTTTTCTTTTTTGAAAATATTGAAAATATACATACGGTCACTGAAAAGACTATAATAGCCGTTCGAGACAAAATACCACAGATAGTCGAAAGGGAAGAACCCCTCTTGCATTGGATTTTGTTTTGTTTTCTTGTTTGGTGTACGGTGGTGGTGGAAGCCATCACGCAGCGAACGTGCGGTGTAACTGGCAGATCTCACCTATATTTGTTCTTTTTTCCTTTTCGTTTTTTTTTCTGGGGGGGGGGCTTCTCTCTCCTCTTGTACGGCTAAAGTTTTAATGTAGACTAATACGCATAGGAATGGAATGTTTTCCGAAGCTTTCTTGGTGATTGTCTTAAGTTGGCTGTACATGCGGATCCTCTTCATCCAGCGGTGTTTTCGATAAATCCCCGAGATGTCGATGGAGGGAAGGTCTGTGCGGTTTTTCATGTGTTTTTGTCATGTCTCTATTTTATTCATTTGAAATGTCAAAATGTCGTGGATGATGCAGCGACATCGAAAGTGGCTCGCTTTCGTGGTCTCTCTTTACCATCTTTTCATTCCATGACTGTTGCAAGAAGCATGTCACAAGGGTGCGCGCACGATATTGGGCCAGGTTTTTGAAGGGCAGAAGATTAAAATCGAGTTGATTCAAAGTTGACCACCGTAAAGACGAGAAAGTAAGTATTGGTGGTGTTTTCTTTGCTCTCGATGAGATCGGGTTAGGGATGGCTGGGAGCTTGGATCGGATTGAGGTCAAGAAGACGAAGACGTAGTCAGCAAGTAAGAAAACAGAAGAGAGAAGAAATAGATGAAAGACCCCGGCGGTTTCCAACGGGCGTTTTTTTTGTACATTTTTCGATTTGTACCGGTCGTCCCGGTGGTCTAGTCCTGTTGCGGTTAGATAATCTCTGGAGTGAAACATATAAATTCAATTTGCGGTGGACAACACATGATTCAACGTGACGGCTGAACCCTTCTCACGATAAAGACTATACGACAAGCACCGCGGGAGGAAATGTGGGACACGAAAAAGAAAAAGAAAAGGTTGTGTCCGATGAGCGATTGATGACCCCCTCCTGTGCGACCCTGGCCAATACCGTGCGTCAAACTTACCAGCGACACGGTGTGTAGGCTGGCGCCAGAATAGATTGAGCAATACCACGCACAACACAACCATGTTTTGCCAACACACAATCAACCTGTGACGTTGTTCACCGTCGATAGATATTCGGAGGAGGGCATGCGACGACGGAGGAGCTCGGTGTGTCCGAACATGGAGACCGCAACATCGTATGTATTTTGCTGTATGCTAGCTGATAATATAGTGCACAAAGGTGTGTTGCCGATTCCACGAAGGATGGGATTGACGCACAAAGGTAAGACAAGCACAATCAACCTACACGACATGTCAACACTCAAGATGAAGCAAACAACACAGGTGCACACATTTTATTTGCTTGTCTCGGGAATCAGTGATGTGATCTTCTACTTTGTTTCCAGGTGCCCCGTCTTCGCACGTCGCATATTGGCCAGACACTGTGAGCAAGGCAACCAATCACAGCACAGCAACCAACCGACGAGGACGAGAGCAGAGGTCGCCGTACAAACGATCATGTCGTGCAGATTACTGGTAAATCGTCAAGAGCCCGCACCGCCTCCCGCCCAGGGCACAATTATACAATATGACCCCCGCTTTGATTTGTTTATTTTTTTTTGTCATCTCTGATTTAGACGGAGGAAACCTTGACGGATGAACGCCCTGTGGACATAACCAGAAGTAGGATGGTAGAGCAATGCCGTTGTACGACAAACGGACGCATCATGAGCACAACCTGAACTTCGCTCGCGGGTTTACTCGTTGCGCTTGCATTAAGCCCACCAAGCGCCCACGGCACACAAGGCCCTTCAACCCCGGCGATGCTACATGAGTATTTCATACCATCCATCACTATCCGGCCTCGGCACCAGCTAATCGGTCTCTCTCTGACTGGTCACAGACTCGTTCTCTTCGCATTCTCAACCTAGGCACATCCATTCCCATGATGGCAACGCGTGCCCAAGAGCGCGCCCGCTTGATGGCAGCTCAGTGTTGAGCACACGAGGTACCGAGAGCGAAACGAAAACGATACGAGAGAGTGCAGTGCGACGACTTGGTGGATAATTGCCACGGACTGGGAGCGGCGCATTCCTCGACCAAAAGCACACCACACCTCCGCACCTCTGAATAAGAGCGCAACACTTTCCTCGCTATGGTGTGCCCATGAAGGCCATCGCCATACCCAAGACAACATGCGTGCAGACGTAGTGGTGATTCTCAGTGGATATCAGGGCTGTGGCCCGGTTGATGAATCTACCCTATTCGTCCGCATTGCGCCAACAACATTTTTCGCCCTGTTCTGTTCACGAAGGGGACAGCTACGTTTCGCTCCCCCCTCCCCCCCGGTCTCCATTCACTCGATTTTGTGCAACATGTTCTCCTTGTTGATAAGGTGACAGCTGCGCTCCACCAGCTGGAGAAGTTGGCCGATGTCGGAGTTCCACTCGGAAAGAATCTGCTCAAAACGGGAGGGAACCGGGGACAGGGAGTTAAGCCTAGCGGGGTAAAAAAAATGAGTTAGGGCATGCTCCCTGTTCCCTCGCACTGAAACTCGCCCACAGTTCCTTTGTCAACATGGTAACGGGTGCGGGCATCAGGAAGCACCTCATGCGGCAACGACACCGGATATTCTGAGGCTCTTCCATGTTTTCGGCAGATATGTTACAAATGTCGAACGGGCATGCTACAAAGGCCAAACGGACAAATTTGAGGCTCTTCCATTTGTGCTGCACAAGCCAAACGCCAATGATACAAGGATATAATTGAGGCTCTTCCGTTAGTGCCACGTACGCCACACGGATATGATACACGAATATCTTGAGGCTCTTTGCATTTGTTGTGCAGGAGCCAAACCCAGGAAAGCAAGCACACACGCAAGACAAACCCGAAGCGCAGAGATATTTCGTTCTCTGCTCGAGGAGGCAATGAGAAGCACAGACGCCATGCTCGCAACACGCCAACAGACGTGGCTCCCGCGCTTCCCACGGTCAAGGATGGATGGGTCACCCCCGCTGGTCCCTTTCACAGAAAACAAAACCACCAATTCGACCAATAAAAAGCCTAAACATGTCGAAAACGAGACCGCGTGCGCCATCGCGCCATGGTGCCTCAAGCAAACCAAGCCAAACAAAGGTGCACGCTCACCTCTTCCGATGGCTTTCTCTTGTCAAAGTTGATTATTCCCTTCGGCCGGTCGATCTTGGCGTACGCTAACGACCCGTCGCTCACCATGTCTATTCAACGGTTTGAAAGTAGCCACCGCGGAAGAGGCAAGGGGGGGTGGAGGGGGGGTGAGGAACTTGCGACCCGTCGATCTTCCTGTCTACCAGCAAGTATCGGAGTAGAACAAGCGTTGTCTCCGGAGGCGGGGGGGGGGTCGGCATGGGTATTGCGGGAGAGGGTAGGAGGTGACAGGTGTAGGGGGAGGGTAATTCCCACACGTTTTCAACAGGCGGCCGTTCAGGACGCATTCTTGTACTGTCGGGACAAGGCGGCGTTGTTTCCAGACTAGATCTTCTCGAAGATAACAGCGAACACGAACACGACTGCTGTACAAGCTAAATAACACCACACCATTCGCCGGTCGTCCTGCCTTCAAAGCCAGAAAAAATGACTTCACATTAGACGGGTGGGGGCGATGTGCCTTCCATGTCTAACCGCACACCCAGCACCTATAGTAAAACGTATCGCTACTCCGTTTCCTTGCGTAAGAGAGCGTCTCACAAGTACACCTCACCCGTCCGTGAGTTTCCGCTCCCGCCGATATGAACGGCTTACGCATGAAGCGAAAGTGCGTGCACGCCGTGGTGACGAAGTCAAATAAAAAACACACTGAAACTGAGTGGGATTACGAGGAGACTATCGTGGTCTCTTCGCATATGTACACACATCGGCGCGATGCAGTGTTGCTTTTCGAGAGCGCTGACAAAAGAAGCATGCATATGAACGTACAGAAATGGTGCTTCATTTGCAGACGGGTTCCAGTGGTTGCAATACTTTCGTGGGTGTAGTGTCTTGTGGGTAACCCGAGTATGACTGATGGAACACACACAAAAATACAAAGTCTAGAACCAAAACAAACAGATTGCCCCTTGCACAAAAAAAACAGGAACGGCGTAACATACATTTGGCCTTTCAATCTTAAGAAAAATACAAAATTAACCGGCAATGGGCAGGAGGCAAGCGTATCATCAAGAGATTTCGACTTTCGAGCATTCTTCATCCTCTAATCGAGATGTCTACAAGAGGCGTGATTTCCCCTACTTAGGGGGTGCATGTAACGGCACGTGTATCGGTACCTGCCACTTTCCGCTCCGCCTGATTTTCGTCCAAACCCAGCAAGTCCGCCAGCCTCTTCGTGTTGATCTGCTTGTAGTACGACGCCACCGTGCGGATGTTGTGCTGCACGATGCGGAGCTTCAGATCCTCCTTCCACCTGATGGGTGGTTGTTGACAAAAACGTTTTGCACGTCGCACGTGAAATTTTCAAACTTGAGGTACTTTGGGATTGCTTCGAACAGAGGGGTTGATGCTCTTGTCTTCTAAAATGGAACGCGAATACGCGTATCCCTTGATAGCCCACGCGGACACACATAAAACAAAAACAAAACACTGAGAAAAGCATCAATGAAAATGTAGGAGGGAGGGACGAATCATCAGAAACAACCAGGTGCATAAAACAACAAACGGAAAACAAACCGGTACAGTACGGCACGTGGCAGCAGCGGCGAGATTAACTACATTACATAAGTCGCCGGCGGACACGTGCCAATGCTTCTGGAGCAGCCGCCGAAGATACCTAGATCAAGTCGCCTTCTTGCCTTGTGTGTTGACAAGTTTCATTCGCCTTCATTTTCACACTGCTGCGGACGCAAACAGAAGACGATCACGCCTCATCAATAATACCGCGGTGGCTCGTGAGGGTTTTTCCGGGATGACCATAATACTTCATACCTGATGACTTTCGACGCTACGAAAAAACTATACATTCACCCAAGGCTCACTTTGCGAGTAGTTCCGGCCCGCCTGCGGCGAGGCACGGATCCGATTCAAGCGCTTCCTGGTTCTCGACGGGGTACCCGATGATCTCGGGGGTGGTGAAGAGCTTCACCAGCATCTGCCAAGGGGGGACCGCGGAATGCATGATGATGATGGGGTACGGCAAAATTAACACGGTAGGGCACAATAACCAAATGATATTGTACGCCTGCAACTCTGCATATTAAACCACACCGCTGTGACACGGCGGCGCAGCCGTTATCATGCATCTTAAAGGCTTCGCCAGCTATGGAAGGGGATGGGCCACTACGCACCTTGTAGGCCGGCAGCTCCTCCAGCTTCTTGTACTCGGCGACTCGGAACAGCATGTCCTGCTGGTGGTTGCCGTTTGGCGACAGGACCAGGAACAACACGGCTGCCTGGAGATACTGCTTCCATTCCTCCCCCTCCTTATCCCGTACAGAGGGGGTGTCGTAGATCGAGTGGAAGTCCTGGGGGGTAGGCAGGTCCAGCAAACAAGGTGTTTTTTGAAGCGTGAGCGCCGGTGGCATGTCGTGGTACGCTGCTGATCACGGCACATTTTAGTGACCGGCGCGACATAGCGACAGGTATCTCGAGTGAAATGATTGGCGCCGGACGACTATTAAGGAAATGGTACTCCTATGCTACACGGTTCGATGTGGTGTGTGGCATGATTTTTCTGCGTGAAACGTAGCGATGGTGTGCCTTCGCCAAAGCGTGCAGTCTCAACATGCAACATGTCATCAACTGGCAGCTTCACCCACCTGGCAGAGATCGAAGGTAGCCTTCTCGTGGGTATCGTACTCGATCATCAACTTGTAGAACCGAACCTGGTAGACACGGGGCGTTTGGAAGCACGATGAGACGACAACACGGGGATCCAGAGCAGCGAACCAAGCACCAGCTCGATCACGTGGGTCAAACACACTCCCCGACGCAAAAAAACACCAATGTTTCTCCGGAAGAGAATCTTAGACGCTTGCCTGAAACAAGCAGCAACAGATGTACATCCATTCGCCAGCCCTTCCGCAAAAACAGCACACGCAGTGCCAGCAACTGGGACCTTCTTCCTATCCACACAAAATCGCGCCTTCGGTGTAGCCTAGAACCAGGCGAAGAGACATACAGTAGGCAAGCGGAACGACTGGGCGGCCTACGCCACCGGCCTCAACGGGGATGATTCCAAGAAAGCTTTACCATAAACCCGACATTCGAACGTCACAAACGCCTTCTGAGTGGCAAAAAAAAACAAAGGGTTGACTACAACAACACAAAAATACGGGCTTCTGACATCTTTCCCCTGGCTACTCCTAGGGTTCTAGCAGCATAGCTGTCCATCCCCGCGGTTTCTGTCCCTGGTAAGCGGTCCCCTTTGCTCTTACCCTCGCTCACTCCCAAAACAAGCAGACAGAAGGACCATTACAGACGTACCGAATCTACCCCCGTTTCACCTTGATGTCTTGCATGTCTTCGTCGAGAAGAACCTTGCGGTTGATCTTCCGGCTCTGGATCAAGGCCCTCACGAAGTCCTTCTTCGCCAGGGTCAGGCGGATCTGCAAGGCGTCGTGTCGTGTGCGCAGAGAAACACATCTCAAAACAGCTAGCGCACAAACACAGTGGAATGCATCAAAACCATCCCGCAGGAGGCACAGGGTTTGCACCACAAGATGGGGTGAATGATCAAGCGGGCGTGGCTTTCGAGCGCGGTGACACCGCTTCGCAGCCATCACCATCATACCTCCGACTGGTGGCAAAAAACAAGGTACGCCTACAGCAGCTTGGTGTCTCCCTTACTAAATCCCTCGGAGGGCAAAGCCAACAGACGGCCGAAACGACAACCGCGCGTTTGCACGCAAAGTCGACGTCCCGGCAGTAGCAGGCCCGAGAGCGCGTCGCCTGCGCAAGCCGACATCGCAACCCGTGCGCTCTGTTTCCGTTTACCTGTTCAAGAATGAAGTCCGCCTTCTCCTTCTTTGTGAGCGCTCCGTAGGTCTCAACGTGCACCTCTTGCAACACTTCGGCGGCACCCGCCACGTCCCCGTCCTCCTCCTTGATCTGATGCAGCGATGCAAGCAACACAACGAGAGTGGTAACGCGGAGAGTGCGTTCCGTTGCTCTTGCGGTCGTCGTTGAATAAAGGCTTATCTATTAGACTACTCAGTCAGCGCTCCCGGAGTAGTCTGATGGACGCTGCCTGAGCAGTCTAATGCAATAGCATCTTTATCTAACAGTCCTTGTCGATGCTGCTGATTGTCGCTGCTGCCTGCTGTTGCTAATTGGCGGCTCTCGTTGGTAAGCACAGACACTTGTCTGCCAACATGTCCTGTCGCACCCTGAAACACCTACTGTACTAGGGAGACGAATATGTAAAGCGACCCCGAACCTTGCCCGGTGTCCGGAAGCCGCGGTATGCCATGTAACAAGCTCGATCGCACACTTCACACACCTTGGCAAGCATTCTGGTGAGCTTGGCTCTCTCGGCCTCCACGTAAATCTTTCCGTCCGTGATGTCCCTTAGCGCTACCAGCAGCAACACGCGAGTGTCCTTGTCCGGTGTTTCGTCCAGCCACCCCACGGCCTGATGAGCGTCGACGGTTTGCATGGTGTCAGTTGCAACCAGCGCATAAGCAACAACAGTCAGGGGGTCTAGATCAACGAATGGCTTCGTAGAGTGTTCCTACCGCCCAAACACTGGATCACCTTTCGAATCACGTTACTCTAGCAGAGATACGCCTCCTGCCTGACAGCGTTTCTAAGTCTATCCGCCGACCAAACAAAAAATTCGCAGAGGGCCAGGTGGGACCTCTTCGTGTTTGCCAAGAATTACAGCAGTAGTACCTCCTTCGAAACGGCGACAGGTGGACAGCTTGTGGCGCCTGCGGCGTCAAAAGCCTTGAGTGCAGCGATGGAAGTGAAAAAGGAAGAAAGTCTTGACACCTCCGGCAAGGAGCACGTGAAACCTGTGTCCAATTACAGCCAAGAACGGAGGACTGCCCTACCAAAAGTATTTCTGTCTCAAAAACCAAACGTTTTCCAACATATGTAATCCCCTCCTCCCTACCTCTTCCAAAAAGCAGCGGTCCCTCCACTGCAAACAGGGCATCACTCTCTCCTGTGCAGACAGCGAACCGGGATCCCTGCTCTCTCTGTCTATCCACTACAAAACCCACCTCCTGCACCATGGCCGTGACGGCCTTGCTGTGCTGCCCTCTCCTCTTGGAAATGAGCGTGAGGGTGGTGTTGAGCTGCGCCCAGTCCTCCACTTGCCGGCAGAGCCGAGCCGCCGTCAGAATAACTTCCTTTAGGTTAGGGAAATCGTTGCCTACGCGGCACAGCCGCTCCAGGCTCATGATGATGTCCAAACCATCCGCGAGCTTTCCCCCCTGCGCGTTTTAATACAGAGCGTATGATGTCGTGCGCTTGCCCGTGAGAGATGGTTGTTGAGCGTGTTGGGAGGGCAAAGTGCACGCGTATCTGATGAAAGGTGCCTTCTGACTGACAGGCATCGCTATACATTGCGGAAGGAGCCCCTCTTCAGCACTGAGGTGGGTGGATGTGGGCGGAGCGGAGGGCTGCCGTTTCCCTGCCTTCTCTCTTGCCCATCATCATCAGTAGCGTTATTTCTGCACACGAAAGGCAAGCGTCTCGCTTGCATCACGTCGCGTTCGTATGACCCCACACAGCTCTGTAAAGAGGGTTCTGTACGGGAGGGCAAGCTCAATGCAGGTACCATATGGCCACAGCGGCAAAATTTTTAAGAGAAAAGGCAGAGCTGCATGCCCTGTATCTGATGCCCTGCAAGCTGACCCGCCGGCTTTGTTAGTGTGTCTGCGTTGAATACTGGGGTGGTGTACTTGCCGCTCCTTGTGAGTCTGCTGTATTGCAGCAGCAGCAATTCAGTTTCGAGAGCACGAAGCAGTAAAACAGGTAGATACATTACATTCTAGGGGTTTCTACCATACTTTAGGGAAGTTGTGTAGTCAACCAAGGTGTGCGGGCGCATGCGTCCCAACCTACCGGTCAACTGCTCTACCCTCACAAGGCGTAGGGTTGACTTCGTGTCGGTATCACATCCGCTGCTACAGGTACGTGTAGCCTGCCGTAGCTGCGAGCGCGGCACAGCAGTGTTCCTGCAAGCTTTTAGCTTTCAAGCCAGAAAATCAGCTTGCAATCGAAAAGCGTGGCGCTTACAGCCACCTTGGAGAGGACAAAAACATCTTGCAAGCATCCAACCGCAATTCCGGCTCACCCAGGAATCCATGCATCCTAAAGTACAGTGCAGGACCTTGCCACGCCGATGCTAAGACTAAGCGCGTTTCGCACCTCCAACAACGGAGCGAGAATGGAGAGAAAGCACAGGCTTGCACACAAGGAGGACGCCTAAAACCCAACAAAAAAACATGGGAGGGGAGACTGCCAACTGCCGATCTGAATGCCACCGTGCACCGGATCTCTGTCAGACCTATGCCTGTCACGGTGCAGGTACTGCTGCCGCTGTGTGCCACCGTACCTCTGCAAGCTTCTTGGCTTCAGGAAGCTTCGCGGTCACCTCCGCAGTAAAATCCTTTCTCTCTTCCAAGCGATCGCCCATCCTGCCGTTTGCTCTCGTTCAGTCCCTTGTATTCTAAGACAAGCGATGCACAAGCGTGCAATCTAAGGCAACTATCCTCTCTCCCTCTATGCTTTGCCGTTGCTGTTGCCTCTTCTCTCTCGGCTTCCTCGAGGGGGGCACGTGCAACAGGAACCCCCCCCCCGCTCCGCATATCTGATCCGTTTGCTGATTTGACGGAGTCCCCCCACACAAGCTGTGCGGCCTCTCAGATTGAGCAGCGACACAGGCGGACAGGCCATCCGCATGCCTACAGCAGCAGCAGAGACATAGGGGAATAAAGATAGAAACAAGGAGGGGGGCCGAACGTTCAAGAGATGGTGCTTTGGCGATGGGGAGTAGCGGTGCTGCTAGCTTTGCTCTCTTGTAGCACCACCAACGCCGGGAGGTCTACCGGTGGGAGCGGCGACCCTATGGATCTCCTGAGCAGCGTGTCCGGCACATACACGCACTTCGTTGACGACGATTTATCCGTTACCGTGAGCTACGACTTGCAGGACGACTCCAGCATACCGTTCAGCTACCTCACCGGGTAAGGATTGGTAGAAAGGAGAACGGCTGGGTGTAGTCCTAAAAGTTGGTCTGTGTGCAGTTAGTGGTGAGCGGTGTACACGCCGTACCAGCGATGCAGCTGCATAGTACCACTGCTCTCCGTACACGCAAAGCTATGTAGTTGCAGAACGTGCACAGTGTGCGAGAGTCGTCTACACCATCGTTCACTCGTTTTCTACCACCTTTCATTAAGGGCGTGGCGAAGTTGTGTCGAACTCCTCCAGAAAACTCAAAGGAAAAGGGGTCACATGATCCGAAATTCAAAATCCGCCCAGAGCCAGCAGTAGTTTGAGTTTCAAACGTGACTAGTGTTCCGTGGGTACTGTACGATGTGCACACGTTTGTTTCCATACCCCTCGTACTTGATGACATCAGAAACGAATGAGCAAGAGGATGGTGTTATGGTTAGGGCCTGTTTTCCGTTCAAAGTTGGGCACGTACTGTCTCGCTCCACATTGCCGGCCGTTAGTTTCGACACAGCACATATTGGGAAGCAACCTCCGCAGCTACCCAACCAGAGCGAAAATTTGAAAATCTGACATGCTCACAAAATCATTGCAATTCAGAGTATTTCCCGGCGCAGAGGGCAGTGGGCGATGCGTGTGGGTGCCTCACGGCCAGTGTGCCGCGTGCGGTCTAGTCGGGGGCAACGCCAACACGAGTTCAGCTCATGATCGGGGGTGCGAAACAATCCAATTTTCCATTTTTTTTTTCTCCACACAATGCCAACGTCCCGCTTTTCCGGGCAGCAAAAGCCTCCTCGTATTTCTCGCTGTTGACCACTCACCGTCTTTGGCCCCCGGTGCCCCCCTCCAACTTAGGTTTTGCAGGGCCTCTAACTAGGTGAAAATAATACCAAGCGTTACACGGCCTCGTTTGTTGGTTATTTTTCATTTTTCAGTTTTGGGGATGTCGTTCACCGAGAAGCACAACGAGCCACGTGTATTTGCCTCGTACTCGTTGGATTGAGCACCGCCGTTTCTTCTGCCTCTCAACGGAGAAAAAACAAATCCCGTGCACGTTTTTTCCGGTTTTGGACTCGTTTCCCTCTGCTTCGGGAGAAAATTGCGTGCAGACGAGAGGAAGGCCCTTGTGACAAAACAATTATGTAGACACTGACTGAAACAGAGAGGCAGAAAATACAAAACACCGATCTCCAACCACATCTTATCTCCATGGCGTCCTCTCTCCCGTATGATCCGATAGCTCCGAAACCAACATCGTGCTGTCGTTGTACCACCCAATAACCTTGTGCGCTTGGTCGCCGTGTTGTTGTTTCCGTCGCTGTACGCGAACAGGGTGTCGGTGACGAAAGCCCAAGACCTGTATCGAAAGACCGCACCTACGGAGCCCCTGGCAAGGCTCACGCTCACCGGCTCCGCCCTCATCAAGCAGCGGTTACCATCCGGTGAGTGAGCGAACATCCTCTTCCTCTTGTCCATGGATTCCAGGCGTTTTGCCAATTTGTGCTTTCTTTCATCAGCACATGGTCAGAACAAACGTTGGTATGTACCCATTGCTGGTATGCGCGTTTTTTGTTTGTTTCGAACTCTTCCGCCAGATCGTGTGGGCAGGAAGGAGTTCAGTTGGTTTTACCGGTATCTTGAATAGAGCAAACTATATCGAACACGACGGTGGGTGTGTGTATATGCCCGTCCAACTGCCGGCTGCGTTTTCTGTGTGTGTGTGTGCGTGTGTGTTTGTGTGTGTGTGTGTGTGTGTGTGCGTGTGTTTTTGTCTTCACTTCAAATCAGCGGTCACAGCACTAGTGCCGTTTACTCCAACCCGTGGGCACACAGAAGAGCCCCTCTCTACCCGCCCCTCCTGCGGTACTTTGCCTTCGATTTTTAATGCGAGAAGAGTGCAGCACTCTCTTCCCTCTGTGCACACACGAACTAGCGCTATCAACTAGGCCAGGAGCGGAAGCGAGAGAAAAACTCACTTTGCAAGAAAAGCTCGCTTGCGCCGGGATTCGAACCCCTGACCTGACCTCTAGAAGGTTTCGACTATACCAACTAGACCACCGGGGCGACCGGCACTTGAGACCGATCGGGTCGTAAGCATGGATTACCTTGGCGCCGTTCGCCACCATCATTTTATCAATCTCCCGTCGAGTGGTTTGTTTCTCAGTTAGGTTCATGGCCGGCAATGTCAGTGCGCTTCCATGCCAATCAATTGCTGTGGACAAGGACCTTTGCCTCAGCATGTCAACCTTGGGCGGGGAGCACCTGGTGTAACAGGGTCCTCGCCTTTGCATCTTTGACCGTTTTAGGATTCACAACCCCTGTGGGTGTGTGCTGCAGCCCGGCTTTCAACAAGACCTTTGGATTCAGCCAAGCCAAACTTTCATCTCGATGTAGCTGTCTGCCCTACGTTGGGTTCGGTTGGGGGACTTATGAGCGTCGTATCCTCCCCCCCCGCCGTCGACCGTGGTGGTGTCTGTCACCTTTTGCTCGCAGGGGGCGCCATGATCGACACGGGCAACAAGACGGTGGGCATCAACATTAACCACGCCGCGCGGCGAGCGCAGTTCCGCTTCACTAGAGCGTTCATGGACGGGCGGTTCAAAGTGGGCCTCAACCCCGTCGTGACGTACGGCGCGCTGCGAAGACGAAGAGTGAACTTCAGCACCTTGGTGCCGCCGTACCGTCCATTTCTCTCGGAGTCAGGATTGCCGAGGTATTCTACATTAGCTTGCTTCAGTAATAAATGCGGACTGCCGGCGGCGACTGCATGCTCTTCGTTTTGGTTGTTGTGGTTGATAAGAGTAATGAACCGCTCCGTTCGCTGCGCGCTTGTTATGTACCTTCGTATGCTACATCCCGATGGCGTGGCCTGTTGTTTTTCATTGCTCTTTTTTGTCTCTCTGTATTTCGAGCACTTAGGCGGCGAGGTATTTCTCTGGCGTGTTATTGTTCGATTGGCGTCTGTTCTCTTTCGTCGGTTTTTCCCTTTTCGCTATACCACATGGCGCACAGAATAAACATTGACGCACGTCGTATTTCACGACTTCCGATGCTCACGTTCGCGCCCACCGCACGCACCGCCCCACTGCACCACGTGTGTACACTCAGCATGTCGTTGCAGCAGCGGAGCGTCGTATGGGACTGGGCCCAGGGGATGCCATCGATATCCCCCCTTCACGGGCTGGGGGTTGCCCTACGCCTGCATACAGGCCGGAGGGCATTGTTGAGCGCCACCCTGTTCGACGGCACGGACCGTTCCAGGTTGTGGTCGGTGCGGGCGGATGTCCCCTTAGCGAAGCCGTCCAACACTTGCTTCACGGCCGAGCGCGCATGGCAGGTGCCAACGACGAACACCGGGGCGCGATGACGTGGCGATTTGGGTGTGTCGCGCTGAAAAAAGCGAGGCACCCCGCGCGCGTGCACGTGCACCCACGCACTCACGAGTGTTGCTCGACCCTGGGAGGACAAAGGAAGAGGGTAAGGGGTGCTGCAGAAGCACAGCTGGTAATTTGGACGAGGCGCTATTATAGCAGACGTCTGCGCAAGTTTTTCCGCTGCTCAACGCACACGGCGACGCGTATGTACAGTGAGCACTGGCTGGCGTTTGCGGCCATCACTGTTGCCCTTGGCTTGAACGAAACGTTGACCATCCATGATGGGCTTGGGATCATGCGGCGGTCGTGGACGATGCCAAGGTCGTACCGTGCGGGGAATGGTTTTCAGCCAAAGTCATGTCCGTGAGTGCTGCATGACGCCTGTCGCGCTGTGCCGGGCCGTGTATTTTTGCAGCCCAAGACGGAAGGATGAGGCTTACGGCCTATCTATCTATTCCGCAGACAAAACACGTTCTCGGCAATTTGGGCGAATTAGGGACCAGTAGGCCCGCGGCACTCCCTTCCACCCCTTTCGCTGGTAATAGCGAGCGTCGCAGTTGATGCCCCCAGGATCATCCGACCGTTGTGGGCAAACCCTTTGACAATTCCTTGTAAAAGCTGCTCTCAAGAAAGCAGAGGGTCGGCGGCTAATGCTGCGTAGCAGTCACTGATTTTGCGCTTCTATTGCGATCCCGCAACAAAGGGAGTGGTAGACTGGCTTCACGCGGCCCACGAAAAGCAAGCTTGTGTTGCTATACACAGCCAGCGCTGAGGTAGGGTTGGGCGGGCAGGGAGGAATGGGCAACAGATATGAGACGGGACGCGGTCTAGAGGCTGTGCCTGGGGAATACAATGCACGACATCACAATTTCAGACCTTACGGAGTCCGTGAGTGATTGCTAGTGCGCCAGCCACCCTATCCAAGTGGGCCTGGCGAAGAGAAGTGTGGCGTTTGTGGTTCGCGTTGAACGGCAGTGCGTGCGTGCCAGGTCCGGAGGATGAACGAAATGGTACGGGTGGGAGATTGGTGTGGTATTGTGTGAACGTTGTGTTGTTTCTGCGACGTACGTATGAAAGTGTGGGGTCATCAGCAATGGTTGCTGCAGTTTCAAGATTGATCGTGGTAGATACCACTCGTTTGCCTTGGAGTCGGCCTATCAAACGGGTAGAGGCATACGGCAACAAGCCAGACTCTTGTTCAATCAACTGTGGTGCATGTCTGCGTTACAGACACTCGGGGGTTCGTGGCGGCGGGGTCATGGCTGGGGAGAGAGAGATGGAGAGAGTTTTATATTCCTCGCTCTCACACGGCAGCTGAAGTGTGCCTTCATCGTTTCCGCTTGCTTCTGCTGGCGAGAGAGCTGTATCGGATATCTACAGATTTGTTCACTTTTCATGCTTCGGAAATTCTTTCTCTCGCGGCAGCGAGTCTTTTACCGCCATTCCTTCTCAGGGGCACGCAGGAGACTCGTCGGTACATTAACGCCCGTGCCCGGAGCTCGGTAGACCTCCGTGGTGCGTGTGGTTGACGGCCAAATTTGCGAAAACTGGCTCGAAACCCCGGGGACGCGTTCCGCGCTGACAAAGCCTGGCGAACCAATTCTGAAACCTATCAGACCCATCAAATACGACGGTTTGAAATATTAGCCTATTGCTTCTCCACTTTCATTCGTTCATTCATTCGATGATTCATGGCTGTGACTCTTCGTGTCATCGCATTGTCAACAGCAGCACCTACTTTTACTACACTTCACAGCGGGCCAAGTGTAGACAAGTCTGAGAGCATGCATCCAGCCGTAGTGTTGAACGTGTCCCATTTGTGGTGTTGTTTCGGCTTCAAATTCGGTTCTCATCGGAAATCTGCCATCATCAATCAAAGACATCATGGAAGTCTGAGTTTTCGCTGCCAAAATATTGTCCGCTTGAGCTGGCTCCAATGTAGAATAACAACGTGCGCGATGTTTTGTGCGGAAATACAAGCGTTGTAAGACACACAGTCCCTCTTTGGGCAATGCGTATGTGGTCTTGCGTCACCTGAGGGAGGGTAGACACCCACGTCCCGAAGCGAGACCTTGTTGTACTTAAGTACAAGGAAGGGTAGACACCCACGTCCCGAGGGAGACCTTGTACTTACATGCGCATTGCCCAAAGAGGGACTGTGTGTCTTACAACGCTTGTATTTCCGCACAAAACATCGCGCACGTTGTTATTCTACATTGGGGCCAGCTCAAGCGGACAATATTTTGGCAGCGAAAACTCAGACTTCCATGATGTCTTTGATTGATGATGGCAGATTTCCGATGAGAACCGAATTTATTTGAAGCCGGGACAACACCACAAATGGGACATGTTCAACACTACGGCTGGATGCATGCTCTCAGACTTGTCTACACTTGGCCCGCTGCGAAGTGTAGTAAACGTGGGTACTGCTGTTGGACAATGCGATAACACGAAGAGTCATAGCCATGAATCATCGAATGAATGAACGAATGAAAGTGGAGAAGCAATAGAAAATATTTCAAACCGTCGTATTTGATGGGTCTGATAGGTTTCAGAATTGGTTCGCCAGGCTTTGTCAGCGCGGAACGCGTCCCCGGGGTTTTGAGCCAGTTTTCGCAACTTTGGCCGTCAACCACACGCACCACGGAGGCCTACCGAGCTCCGCACGTACCGACGAGTCTCCTGCGTGCCCCTGAGAAGGAACCGCGAGAAAAGACTCGCTGCCGCGAGAGAAGAAAACGCCGAAGCATGAAAAATGACCAACTCTTCTTACAAGTATGTACATACATAGATAGGGTCATTACTGTTGTTTTCGGTGAACACTGATGTGTGGTGGTGCACGATACTCCGAGTATGTGATACCTGTCACGGAACTACCAGCCTGTACTGCTGTTGTAGCACTGGTCTCGGTGTCTAGACTCAGTCTAACAGGGACAGCACATGCATGCGCTACATCACAGTCCATGACGTTGTTGGTCCGAATCCAAGAAGCAAACTGCTGGCACTTGTTGCGCAAATGCACTGCTGCAAGTAGGAGCACCCCACCATCAGCAGACCAACTTGATGCAAAACAAAGAAGTTAACAGCAGCAGCAACAGCAGCACCCATGGCATTTCGACTCACTCCACATTTTTCGGTGCCTTCTTCTGCCCCTGAACGGTGTACCAGGTGAGGGCTGCCTAGCAAATGAGTGGATGCTCCCAGAGTCACCCATGGGATCTGGGGGGAAAGACAGGCGTTCGCGGAAGTGGCGTGACGAGCAACACGTGTGTCGGTTGTACAGAAACGGTCAACGGCGAAACGGTAACGGATTTGTTGGTGCAGACACATGTCAAAATGCTCGCTCGGTCAAGGCTGCCGGTAGCGCTGCAGTTGCCGCGAACCAAGTCCGACCGGGAGTTCAGGAGGGGTAGGAGAGCGGAGCCCATGCATGGACGATAGACCCGTTACACCCCGTCGTTTTGCCAGACCTAAGCGTAAAAAATGTCACGCGGTCCAGGTTGACCATTTAACCAATTGGGTCGGGTACAGCAGCAGTAGAACTTCTACGTACAACAAGCAGTTCTATGTACAAGTCTACTGTCTACGGTATAGAAGACTATGCAGAGTACGCTGCAGCTGTACAGCAGTCTCTCGAAGCCGGCTTCCAATTTGAAATCTTCACGACTGCAGTGGCACGTATACCGTAAGCTGATTGGGTTCGTTGCAACGAGCAGCGCCAAAGCTGGGAGAGCCAAGCTTCTTGCCGTATGGCGGCAGCAATGCCTACACGTGGAGCACCACAACTCACGTTGAGAGGCAGAGAGAACGGTGCCGGGCAACCGCGCAACACGCATTATTATTCCGACATCTTGGAACGGCACGGGTAGCACCGCTCGCGACGAGCAAGAAGTAGATGTCATAATCTGTCATCAGGAAGAACAAAAGATGATTTTCCTTGTGATCCCTTCTTTGCATTCCGTACACACTAACAAGAAGACAAGTCTACCCTTGGAGCGTTCACATCAAGTTCCCCAGAAACACGTATTTTTGGCGCCCGCCGGGAACAAGCCTGAAAAAAGCAAGCAGGCTTCCCGTATATTTTCATCATCTGTCTGTCATTGCTAATCTGTCTCTGACTCTTTTCTATAATAGAGATGGATTCGTTGTGAAAAAAAAAAAAACGACCCTGCGACGAGGAGTATATATTTTCAAACTCTCCCGCAAGCGAGTAGATGGGATGCTATGCATATGTACCTGTACTGCGGTGTGTATTGTGTACAATGAGCCAAGGAGGCAAAATTATAGTCTACGCACGCAGGACGTGGCCAAAACGCCGTGTACTGCTGGACGAGGCAACACACAGCAGTCCTCTTGTTGGCTGATCCATTCTGCTGCGGCGGAATTTGGTGGAATGCATTTTTTTCGGCGAATAAAATCTCCCACGCTGCTGCCGCAAGGTCGTCAGCGCACATACATATGCATACGTGTGCTCACACATACGTGTGTACTTTGTATGCGTACGTGCCCCTTCCACGCGCGCAGCAACCTGTCCTACACACCGCTACCGCAGCCATACCAGGAACAATCTACAGTAAGTCGCCGTGAAAGTATGGAATGCAGCAGTCTGGTACATCAAACCCTCTACCACACCGCTACTAATCGGGCATCTTTTTTTCACGCTCGCTCTCTCCTGCTCTCTGAACGACTGTACAAGACTGCGCTGAATCAAACGGGTAGTTTTCTTGCCGTTTCATGTGTCGGAGATTTTTTTTTTTTCATTCTGTACGTTTTTGGAGAATCTGGCAGCCATCACCCCACACCCCACACCCCACACCCCATGCACACACCGCTGCTGAACTCGCACCACAGAGATACCGGACTGCTGGAGACTTTGGAAAAGCCGGACAAGGAGCCTTCGACGAGCCGGTGAGTTTGAGTCGATCTGTATCCTGCCGCACCCACCCGTGTGCGCCAGAGTTCAGTAGCGTAGGCTCTGCATGGATGGTGATGACATCATATTAGATGGTGTGGTTGTGCACATGAAGAATTTCACATCCGCGCGAGTTGGCGGCGCGCCCAGCATCTATCTCCATGGACGAGGAGCAAAGGAATACATGGAAGGTGATTGCAGTAGGTGTGGTTTGTGCAATACAACAGTGCAGCGGAGATCGCCAGCTTTCGCGGTCATGGTTGGCGGCGGCGGCGCGTTGTGGCCGCCTTTACATGCCCGAACTCTTCGGCCGAATTTGATTGCACAGATTACCTTCTTCGTTCGGTAAAAGTGATGCGTTTGATTTATGCTTCGCCGACTCTCGCATGATGATGCAACTTGCCACACGTGCAGCTCTCCTTCCCTAGCGACTTCAGAGCACACGCCGCCCCTAACAAACACCGATTAGCACTCCGTGCTACACTTACACCCTTCGCCCCCCGGCTGTTGGAACGTTTCCCTCTCCTGGAACAACACGCACCAGACAGCAGGACACCGTCATGAGCCTCAGTACGCATTCGGGTACACGAGGCCGGCCTCCGGCAAATCGCGCCTCGTGTGGGAATAGCACCATCCCCGACATCACCGTACGTTCGCCTGCCGATGGTTTACCTCCTCGCCTGGCCATCCCACACGAGCCTCCCAAGGTCCCACGCCGGACCCCCAGCAAGGGGAACAAGCGAGAGACCTTAGCGGACATCGCAAAGAGGATTCCCGTGGGGCTCATGCGGCACTACTTCAACTACCCGCTTCGGGCAGCTGCGGAGGTACGTGTGTGTTCGTAACTTTTACATTCGCATACGTTGCTGCCGGGTGCTCATGTTGCTGAGAACGAGGCCATGTGTCTGGTGTGGTGTGCAGTGGTGGGGGAGGGAGTTATTTCTTCCCATGGTGGTGATATGTCACATGGTGACCATCTTTCTTTTCCAGACACTCCCTTCCATCCCCGGCCGGCAAGAATACTCAACTCAATCAACACCCCGTTGGTGCGGACAGCAGTGGACAGAAGTGGGTGTGCCTGCACGCAAAGGAGGGCACACCTCGAACATAGCAGGTTATCAGAGGCACCGACTCACACATGCCCTTGTCTGACCTAACGCGCCGGCGTTGGTGACGAGCTACACCGATTCCGTTATTTTTACATCCGCCAACTTACATTCATGGTCCATGTACATGCCGCAAGCAAGGGCCACCTCAATCTGCCGAAAAGCGAGCGAACAAATATTTGAGTGCAACAACCTATGCGTTTTTTTTTTTTTCGATATTTCGGTGTGGTCTAAATATTAAATATTTTGTCTAAAGGCAACGCCAAACCACCACCGACAGAAACTTTCCGGTGGCGAAGAATTGGATGCTTGTGTCGGTGCCGTGTTTTTCGCCTTCATCATCTACGATAATTCTACAGCTGTAGTCCTTTTGCGTTGTCGTCTAACTCCGTAGGCTACGATGAATATTTATTGTCCACCATGTACGTAGAGCAAATATGCGAGAAAATAATCATGCGTCGGTCGACCGCGCCGTTGCTGCGGCCCACATGAATTAAGGGAAAATAAATACTCCTTTCGTGGAGAAAAAAGCTCAGCTGGAAAATAATCATTCCTGCGGGGTGCGAAGCGCGTAGCGCTGTTCCGTCACGAGACCGACAGAACATATGCCATTCCGGTGATATTCTCTGCTGCATGTACTGCTGTGTCCTCCGCACACACCAGGCTATGGACATCTCAGTGACGACTTTGAAGCGATTGTGTCGGAGGCATGGCGTCAAGCGATGGCCTCACCGCCAGATCTGCGGCATCAACCGCACGCTCAATGACCTCGAGACGCAGCACGACACCGCCAAGGGAGACGAGGTCGACTCGGTCGCTGATCAGCTTCGGCAGCTATACAGACGCCGAGACGTCATCATTGAGGTACGTCTTACTGTGTTGTCCACCTGTTGGATTTCTTGCATGGCATGCGATTCGATCGGGCGGTCTTCAAGCCTTCGCGTAGGCTCTTGGTGCCATGTTTGCGTTGTTTCACTGGCTTCATGCACGCACTTATTGGCATTTCCTCCCGCGTGACGTACGTTCACAGTTGCATCGTCAGCGCTCGGATCAGCAGTCGGTTTGTGTGAAGCTCTACAGTATCAAGTGTCAGCATGGATTTACCCGCCCGATTCGTGTTCAGCAGCGCTCGTGATGTCGGCACAACGTGTGGCCACGTACAGTTTTTTCAGCCGGCGTGCCGAATATTACGGAACATCTATTATATCTCCCGGCGGTTTTCATCAAATGCCTTGCTGCCTGCTGCCAACTCCCAATAATAGATTCAGTTCATGAAATTGAGCTGAAATCCGTCGATAATTTGCGGGCGGGTTATTTCGCACTCTTTGTTCGGCATTTCATACCCCTGATGTACGATGGTGGTATGCTATAATAGACCCACCCACAGGATGCAATGTGCGAGTGCGTATCGCTATACTTCGAAGTACTTCGTAATTGTTTTTTTCTTGAACGTGTTTTTTTGTGCGTCGATAATCGCAGATGTAGACATAGCACTAGATACTTCCTCTTGAACATCACGCACGCATCTCTCAAAACGCCTATGTATCGACGCAGTTAAGCATTTCTGCCAGCACTTTGTATATATATCGAGGGTCGTTCTGCATGAATCGTGAAGTTTTTCCACGTTCTTACTCTTTGCACGTACGTATTGCGTTGGAACCCTCTTTCCGGGCGATATTTTTTTTGCTGCTCTGATTCTTGAACAAGAGCTTCAGCATAGGTGAGACGTCTTTTTGGGGTATAAATTTAGGACCAAAGAAAACCCTTTTTGTTGGAATGGACAACAGCTTTTCACAGGTGATACCTATTTATACCATTGCAACCTCGACAAGACAACGGTCGACGAACAAAGACGCGGAACTACGAGCGAACACCGGTTACTCTGTGTCATGTACCGTTTGCGGACTGCCTCACCACCCCTCATACCCGTCTTCGTCCACGCAGCTGGCGTTCGAGAGCGACGACGAATCAATCAGCAACGGGTCCGACGATGCTCCGCCGGCCGGCCGCAAGCTCAGCAAGCGCGGCAGCTTTACCTCCTCGGACGGGGGGGGCTCCTCGGCATCGTCCTCCTCCTTCCCGTCGCCCCCCTCTTCTCCGTCTCCCTCGCGGTCGTCTTCCTTTGTCTCACCGCCGGCCTCGCCCACGCCCACGGACGAACGCACGCATACTGCGGCTGGTGTGACGTGGTTGAACAACGGTGCCCCGGGGACGGGTCTGCCGTCTTTGGCGCCGGTCCTCTCCGTGACGGTCTCAAGCGGCGGCGGCGGAGGCGGCGGAGGCAGCAGCAGCAGCAGGAGCAGCAAGTGTCCCGCCGTAAGAAGCAGAGGTAGCAGCAGGGGCGCCAAAATTTCCAGCGGCGGCGTCGGCTCGAGCGGCAGCAGCGGCAGCTACGGGAAGACCAGCAGCGGGAGCATGCGTCCTCACCGGCCCAGCGGCACCTCCGGCTCTGGAAGGTCCAAGGGGCCTCGCAAGCCGAGGTCGTCGGCGATGTTCGGCAGCATCCCGGGCCTGGGGAAGGTGCCACCACCGGTCGTGACGGTGGCAACGGGTGCGGCCGTTTCCACTACGCTAAGTCTCCCCGAGAGGACCAGCGCAAGCACCAGCACGAGCACCTCCCCGGTCCGAGCAGACGCGAGTACCGAAACCTCTTCGCGTGTGACCATCCCGGTGCCTTCAAGACCTCTGTCGGCGTCGATTCCTGCGAACAGCAGCAGCACCCACGACGGCGGTGGCACGAGCACCGTGGCGCGGCTTTCCCTCATCGGCTCCGGCGCTTCCTGGATCAGCGACAACGACGCCCCCTCCCCGAGCACCACCAGCGTCGACATCCTCGGGCTGGGGCCGCACGGCAGCCAGAAGATGGACGATCTCGCGATCCTGGGAGACCTGCTGTTCGGCCCAGACGATGCGGCTGTAGCGGCGGCGGCGGCAGCCGGTGTTCGGGCCCAGAGCTCGGCGGCGACTTATCCCCCCCCCTCATCGACGACGTCGCCCCCCTCCTCGTCCTACGAGCGCGGGTTTTCCGCCGGGCTTGCCTCGGCATCGAACTGGGGCGGCGGGCTTTGCTGGGACGCCAACGGCCTCAGCCACTTGGGTCCGTTGTAGTGAAGGGCTCGATCTCACAGGGGGGCGGGCGGGATGTCAGGCCATGATTTTCGGGGGGGGCTGCGGTTGACCACTTCTGGCTGGTAGGAGATTGTTGCTCGATATGGGCAACGGGGGAGAGGGCTTCGAGTAGCGAGAGGGTTTTCATGAGGCGATAATCGTCGTTTTCAACACAACGAAGGCGGCGGAGGTCCTTATAGAGTAATTTCCTCTTTCTAGTTCGGGAGCTTAACCCCCACCTCTCGTGCCATGGCCGCGTTCTAGGCAGCCTTGGGTCATGTTTGTTCGGTTGTGTTTCCCAAGGGAGAAACGTCTTTCTCTCTCTTGCTGGATGTGTACGCTGGTCGAGGTTTTCCCTGCGTTGTTGTCTCATGTCGGAGAGTGTGCTGCTGCACTGTAGATGTTGGGACCATCGTGTGCTTCCAAGTGGGACATCAAGAACCCGGATCGAGGGCGGCTTGGACGTCGCTTGTCTTGGAAAGCGAGTGGGTTTGGGAAATGGTACCGGCAAGTGGGGCGGAGCCCGCCATGGAAATGAGAGACTTGAGCGAGGCGAACGTTTCGGTACGTCACGTTCCAAAGGGATCTGATCGGGGTGTTGTAGGTAACGTACGGGGAGACTAACGCAATTTGTTGAGCGACCGAGCAACCGACGTTAGGTCAGATGTTTTCGGCGATTTCGACAGGGTCTTGCCGTTTGGAACGAAGAATCGCAGCGTTTCTTTCCCCTCCCTCTCCTTCTCTGAGGTAGTGACTCGCCGTGCGTGTACAGCACTCGATGAGAGAGAGAGAGAGAGAGAGAGAGAGAGAGAGAGAGAGAGAGAGAGAGAGAGGTTGAGGTGTTGTGTTTGCGGTATTTGGTACTGTCCGTTCGAAACCTCGGAGGGTGGTGTATGTACGAGTTGGGAGAGCCGAAATGTTGGGATGTACTGGTCGTATCGGTAGGCTTGAGGTACAACGTTTGCGCCCAACAGAACAGGGAGAAGGGAATTGTCAGCTGCGTGGTGGTTACACGTGGAGCGCGAATACCCTGCGAGAAATTTTGTGCGGCTATTTGCAGATTGTAGGTGCTCTCTCCTCACCTACCAACGAGTTAGATACCGGCGGAGCGCACCGCCTGTTTGATGCCGCAGAATTATACAAACATTTCGTTGTACTTGCTGGCGTGGCGGTATATTTTTGTGGAGCTGGGTGGAACATTGCAAGCATGTGCACAGACTACGGGGGATATTGGTTTGTAGGACAAAGGAGGTGCAACGCACGCCGCTCATCGAAATATACGTCGTCGATGATGAACTCATTAAGCAAATGTGTGGGAAGACGTTGTTGTTGGCGTTGATGTCGTGTTGTTTGATGTAGAAGCATTAATAGTTTTCTCCTCGTATGTTTAGCGGGGACCCTAGATTTCGTTTTATCGTCGGTTAGCTTTGGGACGGCCCGAGCGTAGAGAATCCGCGTGTACAGTCAAGTAGCATCATACCTCAAATTCAGTTTTTCACGCCGCCATACAAGTATACCATGCATAATGAGCCATTACAGCGATAGAGACTCTCAGCGCCGTGGATCCTGCCTACCTCGTGCGACATTCAGTCGAGATCATTTTTGTTGCGTTGGGTGGATTGTCGCTGTTTGCTGTCACCTCGGGAACTGGGTGAAGCAAATCTAGAGCTTACAGTAGAGGCTTCGTTTTCTGGTTTGGGGGGCTAGAGACTCTTGTCAAATGCTTCGAAGTATCAAATATACAGGGTAATTCGTGTGCTGCGTGCGGTATGAGTCTTATTATAATATATATTTTCCTGGAGCTTTTAACTATTTTTGTCGTATCGAAAATTTTCATTTTCTCAGTCCTTCTTTCTCTGGTTGTTAAATCTGTGGTGAGTGTATTTTTTTACAGCATAACTCATTGCCTACATGTTTTTCTCGTGTCGAAATTTGTGATTTTCTCAGCCTTCTTCCTCCGGTTGTTGAATCGGTAGTGAGTGTGCTTTTTTTACAGTACATATCTCATTGCCCGCATGTTTCTTTTGTGTCGAAATTTCTGATTTTCTCGGCCCTTTCTCCGGTTGTTGAATCTGTAGTGGCTGTTTGTTGTTTTTTTGGTATCATGTTGCCTGCATGGAGTAGTTTTTTCGCGTGTGTGTCTAATTCTGTTGAGAAATAATACGGATTGCAGAAAATGTCATTGCTTCATGCGGGCACAAGAAGGAGATGCGCTCACATAGACATGCCTGAATTTAGAAGCCTACGCGGCCGGTGAGTCAACATCTTTGAGCTTGCTGCCGAGAGTCATCCCGCGTGTCCTTGGTGTGGTTTTCTGATGTGAGGGCGGCCCTTGGAGCAAGCCGAACGAACAAGAGGAAGAGCTTGGTTGAATTCAGCTTGCGTGCTGCAGTAAGTGTGGGGTACTCCGCACAAGGCCAGCTCCGCCCTTGAATCTGTAAGAGGTACATAGATTCGCCTCATTCATGTCTTCTCGCCGAGATGAGACCGTGATGCCCCCCCCGCGTCCAACCCAGTCATACATATCCCTTCGACTACCCAAGTTGTTGAAGCATCGCTTCCACTCGGTATATACAGTATCACACGGGACTTGCATTTTGTACTTCCTACGGTGGACGGTTATGGGTGAAAGCCATCCACTTCATTTGGGACCTTGGACTTCATTAGTGTCGAAGTTCCGACGCTGCAATGCCAACAATGTAAACAGCCTACAATCAATGGATAGAAGGACTACTGTAGTCTAGTCTCTCCCTCGCAAGCGCTCGGTATCAAGGTAAGCACCTCTACCTAAACCTCGAATCGAACAACATACCTAAAACAGTAGAAAGACTACAACCAACTGGTGACTACATTCCAGCAATAGCTCCCCTGTGCATGGGCAACCAACAACACACCGTCCGCGGTGCTCCGTAGCGTACCTTTTTTTTTTTTTCTGCGGCGGATTTCCGAACGGTTCCGACGCAATCCCCGAGCGGTAACATCAGTGAGAGGAGAGCGACAGAGATCGAATACCGAGTACGGACGAGCCCTCACACGCCCAACACGGCATATTTTGTGGCACGACGTGATATCCTTTGAAATTTGGTGCTCTCATAGGTGAGCTCCAGCCAGTGGTGGGGCGAGCCCAGCCAACCCCGATAGCTCCGAAGTGAAGAGTGAAAACAAGGTAAAACCTCTTACAGTACAGCAAGCAGTGTCCGCATGTCGGTCGTCGTCCTGGTGAAGCTTCGAAACACTGCTGTACGTAGGTAAGCCTTGGGAGATCTACTACAACCGTATTAAGGTGTGTTCGGCAGTCACATCCTCCCCGTCCCCCTCCCCACGGATTCCGCATTTCACTACATGAACATATGCATACAGTGGGCAGGTGTGTGGGGCCATTCGACTCAGAACGTGGGCATTCCCTCTGTCTGTCAGAAAACGTCGCCTGGATGGCAGAGGATGCGGCTTCATGCCGGGGCTGCATATTTCGATGGAGGTTTGGCTTCCGAAGGGCTCTGTACGAGCAACTGTTCTTGGTGAGCATATGAGTCGTCTCGAATTATACCCGTGCCAATGGCGATTACAGCAGTAGTTGCGGGACATATCGAGAACCGCTTAGAACCTGTTCATGTATGACGACTATACAGATGTACCATGCATGTGTATACTATCATGTATGCACATGAACATATCGTGGACGAAGCCTGCAACTGTACGGCGAAAGCACGACTCCTGCAGGTGCGATTTTTTAGAGCACATTACGGTTGCCAACTGTATTCATTCGATACTCAAAATGCCCCGTCTTGGGAAGCGGGAATGTACAATGTGATGTGAGATTCCCGTCTTCGACGTTTGCAATGTTTTAGTTGGTTCCCAACAGCGTGTTCACAGCGCCACCGGTACGTCACCGATATACACCAAGCATGGCTTCCAGCCTTTTCTTGTAGACGTATTGTCGACATGGCCCTCATTAGGATGTCAATCCTTCCTCTCGTTGACGGCTAGCCTATAGAGTGCAGCGAAATTCCACGCAGGACACCGCACACAGTTGCCGTCAATGGACTACCCCGCTCGCGCGATATTCGATGATTTTCGCAACGATCGCAGAAGAACGAGCCTCTGGTGGTGCTCGTGCGAAATATGTTAGGCATCAAGGGCGACGGAGACGTGGCGCGAGTCATGCGCGTCTTCCTAGACGTCGACCTGCGGGGAACACACAAGTTGGACATCGAGACCTTCTTCGAGTACTTCGGCATCGAGTTCTCCGAGTACAACAAGCGAGCCTTTCGACTCCTAGCCTTCGGAGACGAACAGGTGTGAGACAAGCTTAACCCGAGTGTTCAGTCGAAACTGACCTTCACCCACAGGCATTCTGTTGCAATGCGACAGCACGCCACCCGCCACACACCGCAACAGGTGGTGTACATCAGCCGGATGGTTCGCAGCATCTGTTTGTTGATGCTAGCCTGCATCACCCTTCCTGGGGACAAACATGTCCTACAAAGAAAGATACTTCTCATGCTGCTGCCTCGCTTCTCATGTAGTAAGATAGACCCGTGTGCACAGGATCCAAGGACAACGTGTTGCAGGATGCACACGCCGAGTGAGTCTACCACATACTTGTACTTGGATTCCATTTGTTGTGTGCGGCCAGCTTTTCAATTATTTCCGCGTCCCGTTCCCACTGCGCCTTCGACTTGTCGTTCGTAGGAAGACCGAACAGGACGTAGAGGGTCTTCAAGCAGCAAACGCTCGAGCCTCTCGCTCAAGTTCGATCAGTTTTTTGTCAGCATGTACAACTACGGTGAGTAAGGGTCACGCAGACGACTTTGTGCAGTGGGATGAAGTCTGCACACGTGTAGCACGAACGCCATCCATGTGTCGAAAAGGGATGGTCCGTCGTGTTAGGAGTCCGAGCCCCCGATTCGGGGCATGAATGGCGGGGCGGGTAGCACCTCGTAGCCTTTCGGGCCGATCAGAGGGGATACCTGTCACATCACCAAGGACGTACGTGCGTGTGAATTTCACTCTTCGGGAACGGGAGATTGCTCCTGGTGCTACCGCTACTGCCATTCCATTTGTGCACACACTTGTCCAAACCCCACCTAATCCCTTCTTGTCAACCCTCGTCGTTCGGTGGAAACAATTCACCCTGTGCACCGCGGCGGTCGGTTGCGACTCAGGCACACTGCTCCACGAAGCCCTGGTGCGCTTCGCGTTCGATGTGATGGCGTCGGGGAAGGAGTTCTGCAACAGGCAGGACGTGATTGGGCTGGTGTCGCTGCTTCACTCGGAGAAGTCCCGCGTCAGGAACACCACCGACACCCTCATGGGCATCATGGACCCTCATAACCGGGACAAGGTTTCCTTCGAGACGTTCAGGAAGGAGGAACGGAGGCTGGGTTCAATGCTCTTCCCCGCCTTCAAGCTGCAGAAGACCCTCCGTGCTAAGGTGTACGCCTGCTGTTGTTAGTTTTGTGTGGGGCCCCCGTTGACATCATGCCCTCTACAATTATCGCATGAGACCGTATTTGAGGGACACCCTATTCCATGCATGGCACATGAACGCACGGGAAAACACGGGCCTCGACGATCTTCGGAACAGCTGGTCAGCCCACACCCATAGAGAGTGGCCAGACTGCACAATGATGCGTGCGCTATGTGTGAGCTCAACGCGTTCTTTCCCCACGGGGTAGCAGGTTCTGGGGCAGCGGTTTTGGCGCAAAGCTACGAAGAGGCGTCGGAAGGCTCGCATGGTTGGAGCCGATCTCTGTCGAGAATACACCAAGTGAGTGTTGCCTGCTGATCAGCCCTTTCGACACCCCGACACCTGACATTCGCCCTGAGCGTCAACCCTTCGAGCCGATGGGTACAACCCTATTGCGAAGAGCTGTCAGTCTTTCAGAACGGTCATCAGCGAACACAATGCCCGGCTTTGTGTTTGTACGGATAGAATTACCCAAAGTGACCGAGTCATCGCGCATCTCGTTAGATGGCTTTCGTCTTTCGCCGATACTCTCTTGTTTTTGCCTTTTGTGTGCCGGGCTGCACCCATTAAACGGTGATTTTCAGTCCCCCTTGTCATGAGCATACAAACGACCTCTTCCGAATCCATATGCGCCAACTGCGTCTGCAAGGTGCTTGTAACTACCCGGAACATGCCGGTTATGCTATTAGTTTTTCCACGAAAGATGCACGGTGCCACAACCAAGCACGGTGTCATTGGAACCATGCGACGGAGAGTAGAGTGTAGATGCAAGGCTCGTTGTTCAACTTCCCCCCCACTTTTCATATTTATTGTTCGACGAGACCATGCGCCCCGTGGCGGAGGGGGGGGCAGTATTCGCCGTTGCCCCTGGTACATAGCGTATATGAGCCAAACCAACACGATCGTGGCATTTTTACTCAAGTCGCTGAGGTTCAATTTGTTTCGCTTCTCCGCCTTTTTGACCCCGAAGCTCTCCCTTTCGAACTCTAGCGACAAGACGTCCCGCGTACACGTCACTTCCACTGTTTTCGAGATCTTGAGTTCCGGAACGAGGCAGGCGGGTTCCGTGTACGGGACATTTTGCGGGAAGGACAACAACATGGTATGAGCAAAACCACACCAACGCGTGCATTGAATGCCGCGTCCACGGTGAACGCAAAATATCTGTCCCACAGGCTCAGAACCGAGCATGATGGCCTCCGAAACCAGGGCGATGTAGGAGGGAAGCGGGGAGCAAGCAACAAAACCCCCGCCGGTATTGTTGCAGGGGGACCCGCGGCGGAAGAGGTACCGATTGAGCAGCTCCAAGCCTTACCAGTCGTGAAACGCTCAAACACTTCTGCCGTGTCAATTGCAATAACCCATGGCGCCTTGTGGTTCGCGGACTGGGTTTCTCTGTCGGGCCCACAAGGGGGGACTGGTATGCCGAGTTGCGTCACGGGCTACCCCCCCCCCCCCCTCTGTTTCTACCGGTGCCCCCTCTGGGTCGATAAAGACACCTGGCATGTTCAAAATATTGAAAGCTCTGTGACAACCGGGTCGCAATGTTGTCCTCTGGGCGAAATGAGTGTTTTTTTTTTCCCGCTACATCTATTCTGGACGTCCGTCAACACCGACCTTTGGTGAATGCTTAAGAAGCAGCATCTGGAGTCTCACATAACAAACTCTCCACGTTTCCTCCAGCGGTGTTTGCCTTCAAATCCTTAACTCGAAAAGTGTTCGTTAGTCCCTTCTCTCATTATTCTGACAGTTCGATTCGGAGTTTCCGATCCATGGCTTGGCGTTGTGTCTGTGGTGATGGGTGTTCGGCTGGGTTGCGAAAGTAGGCGTGGTTCTTCGCTTTCGAGGAGCATTGGTGCCACCTCTGTGACAGAAGAATGCCGCGCTACACCATCTATCAGCCACTATCGTACCCTGCACGAATGAGCTATTGACAGCAAATCGTAACGACCCGCCGGTCCACCCTTGCCGCGCACCCAACACCAACCAATCGTGTCGAGCCGTCCGTAGCACCCTCACTGCCCGAGTGGCTCCTCAATCGAAACAGCGACTCGCGGAAGACATAAATCTCCATCCGGTGTCCTCAAGGCCACCACTGGCAACAACATTTCTCTCCTGCCCCATACACCCGCGGTGTATCGGCTGCCCCCCTGTCGCCGTCGGATATTGTCGTGTAGGGTGGGACGGAGGAGCCGGGCCTCCACCCGACGAAACCGGGTGCCGAGGGCAACGGTGCGTATGGGGCTGAAGGAAAGGGAGAAGGGGAGAGCGGGAGGGGGACAGGCGGAACTAGCAGCTCCAGCGGCAGCGGCTCTGGTAGTGGTAGCGGTGAGTTGTTTGCAACAGGTCCGTGGGGTGGCTCGATTCTCAGCCAACGGAATTGTATCAACGTGATCCAAATTATCCAACCACAGGAACACCAATGGCAACAGCGCCAATACTTGTGGAACTATACTACAGTAGTTGTTCATTGAAATTCATCGATAAACGAAGAACCCGCGGCGTTGTCAGAGGTATGGGGGCGAAAGATACCAAGGGGCGTTCTACGAAGTTTAAGTGTTGGGTACTGCCGGCGTTATATAGGCGTTGGGCCAGGGAGGTTGTAAAAGGTGTTCTCATGGTGAGGAACGTTCTCGAAAGGACGCGATTGCACACTAACCTGGTGTCGGCGTAAGCGATTGGGATTTGTTGGGGACGTTCTTATGAAACGGGAACCGACGGTTCGGTGGGTCCTCGGCAAGGTTGTGATCGTTTGGTGTTTCTTCATTTCCCTTCCTTCCCGCCCCACGCACCCTCCCGTTCTCTTCTTTTCCCGACTCCACACACACTATCGCGCCACCGCTCCTCCTACAACAATGCACCGCTCAGAGGAAGAAAAAACCGCCGATCAGGCCCAGCAGCTGCAGCCAGAGGGCAGACGAGTGTCGATAGCGGCGAGCAAAGCGGGGGCTCGGAGAGTGTCATACGCCGACGATCGCGCTCCGCGGGGCTCTTTGTCGGGAGAGGGACATTGGGAAAGCCAAGAGGGCGACGGGCGACGGCGTTCCTCAGCGCTGAAGGTGCGCTGGTCTTACCTTAGGGCAGGCCGTGGAAGAGTAGCGGGGTGCTTTTGGGGGGCTCTTCCTCTCCTCTTGGCAGAAATCGCGGCAATAATCTACGATAGAACCCACGCTTCTATCAGGCGGGGTCTTGCGACCCTATTTCTGTCCTTTTCTGCTTCGAGTTCAGACTTATTTCTTGCATTCATATTTTTTTTGCTCTGATGAGATCAACTCGCTTCGAACAAGCTGGCACCCCTTCAACACCAGAACACGCTATTTTTTTCTCCGTGCGGCCAGTTCGTCGAGGTTTAGGACACCACACTCAGCCATCTGTCAGTTGCTGCCGCCAGTGCCTTCTCGTTGGCTGAACTTCAACGTGATCGACCTATTAGGCTACTTCTCTCTTGGAATCCTTCCAGGGAAACCGAGCGCCAGGCCGGAGACGCTCAACCAAGGTGAGCATTGCGGACGCAGGCGAAAATATGGGAAGGCGAAGATCTTCCGTGGCAATTGCTTCCATTTCTGACCAGGGGACCGCGGGCCGGAAAGGGTCAATGTTCGAGGGCATGCAGGTTTGGCTGTAGTCTGTGCGTGGATCGCTTCCTCTTGCGTTTTTTGTTGTTTGTTTTTTACTGTTCGGGGGCGGTTGGTTCCTTTCCAAGGATTGGCTGAACGTCGACTGGTGCGACGGCAGCAGAAGACCGCGAATTCACAGAAAAGTTCGAGGCTGATGATGAAATCTACACGCCATGGGCCATGAATGGAATTACATTGGCGAAACACTGGCTGGACAACCAACCGAGCCCGTATGGTGGAGACCAAACCTCTGCTATTTAGTGGCGGCTGAGTCGCTTCTATCGTGTTAACCTGTGTGTATCTACACTCTTTCAACACGTCCTGCCAGGTGTATGCTCCAGCAGAAACGTCCGCCGCCATAAATGACACATCGAGCCGCCGCCGATCTACGCGAAAGGGGTCAACTTCCCGGGTAACGCCGGGCCATGCACCTCCGAGCGAATTCGCGGATGGACTGCATCTCCATCCAGAGCTTGAGCACCACAACGAAGAATGACAGCGTGTCTCCTTGTACTCATAAGTCAAAGACACAGCGAGAACATGCGATCCCTAGAGGAATATATCGTGTATCAGAATGCGGTGAGAGCTCCAGTGCGGGACGTGGACTTGCCCGAAAGGTCGGCGGGGGAAGGGAACCAACAGATAATGTTACGACATGTCTATGTCGCAAGCCCGAAGGGAGTAGAACCCACAGGGCGGGGAATATGTGAAGTATTGCTGCACAATTACACTCACCCGGTCATCGAAAGGCTCAGGTACTCATTGTAAGCAAAATCTTTTTGGATTGGTCGCATATTTTGATGCTTCGAACGCATTGGTCCTTTTTCCACCTGGGCGTTTGCCTGAGAATAGAACCTTGTCGGCTTCCCAGCACGCTGATCCCCGTCCACTGAGGATGGAGCGAATAACACCACAGGGCTATTCACGTTCGGAACGTGCTTCATTCCACCACAACGCCTTTACGCTGTTGAGTGCACCACTCTGCAGCGTGCCCGTACAACACAGCTACCCGCCTCCCCAAGTGAACCTGGCGCTATGATATCGACTCGGCGGATGTCTCCACGATGGCGGGTGCACGTTGTATGAGGCATGCTTGGTTCCTGGCGATGATCTCCTCGAATCGCAGCTTGTCCACTTTTGAGACGCATCGCAAAACGAGACACCTGCGGTCAGGTTGAAGGAAAAAGCGGTTAGGCCGGTGGCGATATATGTGTCTTGCCTCCGTTTGCCTCGCACGCTACCATACTTGCTTTCTTGCGAGCCGGCCGAACGTGGACGTGAGACACGGCCTTCCACATACTTCACGAGTTGCCGCTGTCGATACTGGACCACGCTCCGGCCCGCTGTCGAACGAAAAGAGTCAATGACGCCTACCCTACAACACAGGCCACCGAAGGAAACAAGAGCACACCTCCCACCCCAAACTATAGAGGCCACTGAAACAAAACATTGTACAGCCTTTCCAAAGCCACGACCCACGCTCTCGCGAACCTCTTGGGGCTAGCGGAGACGAGCCACAGATCAGGTCTTGCAGGCCTTCCGCCGGGTTCTTCCTCAGCCGGTGCTATGGTCCACCGGTCGAGGGGCAGGGTCAGCTGTTATAGTTACACGTTATGGCATGTGCGACAGGGTTTTCAGAGCGGATTCTAGGTTAGGTTGCGCCAGGGGGCGCGGCTTTCGGATTGCGCGGGCGGATGAGTAACTGGAGACCAAATATAGCGAGTGAAACAACAATGAAAACAACAACAGGAGAAAATGGGAAGTTGAAAACGTACGCATTTTGATCTTCAAGGCAATGCGAAACGATCAGGGCTATTGTTGTTTTTAGGGGAAAGCACGCAAGAATTATGAGTAGAGGAGAAAGTGCTCCGACTGCAGCGTTCCCGGCACGGCCCGCGCGCGAGAGAGAGAGAGAGAAAGAGAGAGAGAGAGCAGTGCGATGTCTTCGGGGCAACATCAAGCACGTCCAAGACCACGACTACTGCCACTGCCACTGCACAATCTGGTTCAGCTACCTTAGCTTGCGCGTCCCCCAGGTTTCGGAAAATCTTCAGCACACCCTGCCACACGCACACCCACCACACGGTGGACAAGTCACCGACTTTCATCGTGGTGCCGGTCTTTCCAGTGGCACCCAGCCGCCCTCTCGGCGGTGTAGTCGTAGGGGCGGCGGTAGCTTGTTGTTTGCTGCGCGCGATTGATGAACATGGGCCGTTGGTTGGTTCTTGTTTGTGGTGACGCGGCCGCATCGTTGTTGATCCTTGCCGGTTATTAGCTCATGAAAGAGAGTATACAAACACGAAAGTGCATTTCTCCGTGAAACTGTGTATCTCGAGCCTTGAACAGCGGCGACTGATATTCGTTCGACGCTGCTTCATTTTCGGTCACCTTTTGCTACCGTGCGAATTCTTCTCGTCGTGACTAGCGTGCGTGTTCCCATCTCTCTCCTTGGTGTGGCCTATGACGGGGGGAGTTGACTCGTTCTGCCGCCCACGCACTTGGCCCTCCGCAAGCGCCAGCGTGCTGATCTGTCACACCGCGGAGTCACGAGAAGAGGTGGGGATGAAATAGAGGAGGGAAGAATGTTGCTGTTGGTTGTGCTTATCTTGGCGATTGGGATGGTGTTGTTTGGGTTAGTGCGATGGACGTGGCAAATGCTGATCGGACGTGGCGATCGGCGTGACGAGAGATACCATGGAACCGTATTCTCATCGAGTGCCTGGGTGACAACTTCTAGGTCGGGAGTAAATACTTATTTCTACTGCTGTAGCCCATCGTGCTTGATTATCACCCCTCATGACTATTCCGTCCCAAGTTTCATCTTTCTAAGGCCTCCTGATGCCGTCATGAAGCAGTTCTTTCGCTTTCGTGTCTATCGTATCTACCCTACGCTACCTATGCACGTGAGCTATCGGCAAACAACCGTTGGCATACCAGCAAAACATGTACCTCTTCGGCGATGGGCCCATTCACTTCCGAGCAGTGCGCATCGCAGGACGAGGCCTTCCTGAGATAGACAAGACAAATCGTTTAACGTCAAAAACACCAGGAAGCAAGTCATGTTAGTGCGCTAAAGTGAATTTCTACTTGCTTGGGGTTACGCGTTGCGTGAGGATGGGGGTCATCATCCTCCTTAGCTTACGGGGTGATTGAAGCTGCCTGCACACAAAACCGCACGTCCGCGTAACATGATGAAATAGTCATAATAGACGCTTTTGGGTATGATACAGGCATCCCAATCAAGTGTTATGCCAGCGTCGCCTACAAGACAACAACCACGGAACACGTATATGTATGGCTGATGAGGACAAAAAGCAACAGAGTTGAGACCCGACCACGGTCATGGCATCACACAGACGAGCAGTGCGGGTTAATCGAATGAACTGAACCCGTGCGCGTGCTAAAGGCCAATGTTTCCATGTTTGGAAGAAGAGTTTGGAAAATGGTGGTGGGGTATAGTATAATAGACGACAAATTGGAATGAGATGAATTTCGAAGAAAAGAAACTTGGGGTTGTTGGCGGGTACGTTAAAGTAGCTCTCAGTACTACATCTTGAGTGGAAAGGTCTACAAGGATGTCGATATCGTGCCTCTGTGAACAGACGTACGAACAGAAAGCTGTCGATGCAGTGTGCACTGGACATTCTTCTATGGCTCTTTAGCGTCACTGAAAAAATCGTTGGGCGGGAGCATTATGGCGCGGGTGGCCACCAAGCGACGGCCCGACCAAGATTCTACCCGACCAACGCCCTTGTCCCGACTGGATCGGACTTTCTTGGGCCGGGACGGATGTATCTTGATCGTTTACATAAGGCTGGAGCATCACACTACATGTAGGCCCCATGGTCAGTGTGTTTGTACACTGTGGCGAAATCTGACGCAGTGGCGGAAGAGGTGCGGAACTTGATGCTGATGCGACATGGTTGGATTTGGATGAAACTCGGGCGAGCACAAGATCGCCGTCGCTTGTGAGGAGCGGGAGATATGTCCAAGCAGACTATTTGTCGCGCAAAAGTTGCAGAAATTTCTGTGTTCGGGGTGAAATGAGTCCATCATCTCGGGGGCGAGTTCCTGTCGGTCGAACGGCTGCATCAAGCACACCATGAGAACCCCCCCCCCCCCCGGCCTTAATTTCCAATTCCTCACCTTATCGTGAACGTGAGCTTGCCTGGTTTCGCCGAATCAATATTGGCGATTGTCGCCTCCTCTCCGCGGTTGTGCGGTGCGGAGGGTACCTCCACCTAGACAGACAGGGGAAAACCGGTGCGGGAACTGCCTTTAACGTGGTTACGAGCTTCCGTCGAAGGACATCAG